CCTTTTTAATTCTTATATAGACAAATATTTAACTGAATATCAAACTCTCAATCAACTCCAGTCTGTATTGTGCATTGTTCCCACTCTAGCAAACTCGTAGTCGATTATTCAGCAGTCGGCATACACCATCTTTTCCAAAAATCAGATGGTTTAGACGCCTGTTTCATTATTTTCGAAAAACGCTTATTAATCCCTGTTCAAATTCAGTTTTTTACAATTTTAACCCTGTTTGGCTATTTTTTCAGGAACTAAACCTTCACTATATTATTCAGCATGCTTGATTACATTGATTATGTCACTATTTAGCTGGTTTAGACGGCATCTTCATTATGTTTAAAAGGTCACTAATACTATGTGATATTTTAATTTGTATTTTTGCAATTTTAACCCTGTTTGGCGATTTTTTCAGTGGTCAAACCTTCACTATATTATTCAGTAGCCTTGATAACATAGACCACGAATAAAACCGACTGGCTTAGTGACCTCTTTTAACGTGCTTAAAAATGCAACCTTCGAATCATAATATGAACTTTCCTTGTGAATGCGTTGTTTTAGCAAAAAAAAGAAATATATATTCGGAATCAGCATAAAAATTTACATTCGGAAAAGTTCATTTCATGAAAATATCCTAAGAGGTGATTTTCCCTATTCATTTGCAGGTCCTCCTTTTCAGTGCTTTGGATTTTCATGTGAAATTTTCTGTGAGATTTCGAGCATTCCTCATGTAATTGAATGACTCTATCGATTTGTGTTGAAAAGTCTCTAGATCAAAACAGGCTGACTTCGTAACTGTCCATTCGAGCTACAAAAATTTCTCTGTGTTTTTGATTTGAATTTGACTTTTGGAGTTTATTGTATCAACTTGGACGTCCTGTTAGTCAGCTCTTAACCTCTTGTCGAGCTGTCATTTTTTACTGTTCAATTCATATTCTGAATATCGTTTATTGACATCAATAATTTCAATACGTTTTGAATGTCAAACAAATATACTGACAAGTAAAATAAGTCAATCCATAACTGATTTCACAAACCATCAGGCAACATTCATGAGCACTCTATAATTGATTACAGAATAATCTGTAGACTATGAACGATGGCAATTGCCACCAGCATAAGTGCCTTTTGTGTGTTTCCCATTGAAAAGGTTACCATTTCTCGAGGATAAAACTCAAAGGGCAAACGAACATGTCACAAAGTCTAAATAAATTACCATTATTATTGAATGTGAAATACTTTTTTTCCATGAGATGCATCATGCACAGTTGATGTATTTTGCTTCAAGCAGATTATCTTTGACTTTGATGAATTTCCAAACTAAAAGAATTGTCCTCACAAATTTAGACCAACACTGATAACAAGAAGAAGTAAAAAAGTTGAAACTTGAAACGTGATTAGGAATAGTAAACCGCTTCAATTTCAATAACCATTCAGAACTCCACATGAAGAGAAACTCTGATAAAGTCAACTCTATCAACTGGAAGAATGATGACTGATTAGAATCGAGTTGAATAGCCAAATTCGACTCTAATACAACTTTGCCTTGAGAAAGAAAAAAATGAAAAATTCCAATATTGAATCATCAGAGTATAAAAACTTGACCTTGGTCAATCAGAGGTCAACATGAAAAAGCAAAGTTTAATCCCTGGAAGCAATTCAGTAGAGAAAACTTGAAAATCGCAAATTTATAGACATTTTTTTTCTTTACCTTCAAAGAAAAATTGAAACTCCAAGGGAAGGAAAAAACTCCCAGTGTAATGCTGATAACATGATAAGAGTTGAACCTTTAAACTTGCAAAATTATGATTAATTGTTCAATATCGAAGCATCACAAATCTCTAATGGATAATTTATGTTTGAGGCTTGGGAAGGAAATAAATATTTTCACTTTTTTTCTCTTTTCGTTTCACCGTAAACTTGATTTACTTTTGAACAACATCCATGAACCATTCAAGAGTATGAAATGCGCTTTAGTCACTGGGAGAAATGTTGAAACATAATATCCAAATATGTTGATGTTTTTGTTTTCATTATTATCTCATTGTTATCACACAGGAAGATGATAAACTCTTGAGGATGTAACATTACAAAAAACTCATTAAGCTTTGCTCAAGGGCAAAGCATCAAGAATGCTCAATATGGTGAAACTCGAAATAATAGCTTTGGATATTAAATAGACAATTTAAAAAATAGAAATTATATTTTCTATACTTTATTGTATGTTATCCTTTTGTGTTGTCTGGGAGTGAATTTTGAAGCTCTTTTTTTGGCACAATAGTTGTATCTGTTTCTTATTAATTTTTTTCAGTAAAAGGAATTAAATTTTTCCTCACAATTATTCAAGACAAATTGTTATGATAAAATGTTTCTCAAAAGGTTTAAAACCACTTTTGAAACAAATTGAAACTTTGTTTCAAGTTAATTGAGAATTGGGTTTGAAAACTGTCAAACTGTTGAGACCAAAGTGAGTATTGATGATGGATAAAGTGAAGCACATTTTTTTCGGCAAAAAATGATTTATCGATTATTTACCCTTTACATTCATTTTCTCATCACTTCCTTTTCCTACTTTCCCTCGCTATTGATTAATACAACATTTTCAAAGCTATTTACATGAAAAATTCCAATTTTTAGCATCGAAAGATTCCCTTTTGAGTTTAATCGGATCAAAAACATCTCAAGAAATTCATAGAACTAATGAATTTATAATTAATATTGAGCGATAGAAACTTTGTATCTTCTGTGCGAATCGATAAATAGCACAAAACACATAAATGCTTCTTTCGTGTGGGGAACGAGCAAACAGAGAAGGGACTCAGATTAGGATTCGAAAGTGAAACGAAATTGATTGTTCAGATAAAGTTGAAAGAACAGTGAAAATTTTCGTTGAGCAAATGAATATTTCGATTATTAAATATTTATTGCAACTGAAAAGCTGTGAATGAGTGGAACTTTTCAGGCACTAATGTAATTGAATTTTTCTTTCTGACATTCTATTGAATGTTTTTTTCTTTTCACTAATTGAGTTTATTACAAGTGATTGTTGAGGTAACCATTGATTACATTTGGCCGTTGGCAAAAGAGTTAATTAGTGTTTTGCAAGTTGACATTCTTCCATTGATATCTCAGAAAAGGTCAATTACCAAAATTAAAGATAATTTGTCAAGCTTGTGCATCAATGCCAATCCAAGTTAAACTTTTTCTGTTCCTTTACTGTTCCTGATATCGATGATACTGATTGATGCTTTCATCAAGACTAATGCCAAACTCTTTTCCCTTTCAGCCTCACTGTACAATCCCAGTTATAATACAGGGAGTGAATGAAAATATTATGTATGATCAACACTGAAAGATGAGCACAATATCATTTATTCATAAGAAATGTCTTAACCTCCCATTTCTTTTACTTATCTAAATGGTTTTTTTTCTACTTCTCTCTATTCAAACACCTAATCATCATCAGAATCATCATCTTTCTCCTCCTCTTATCAACGCCTGCCAAGTTGATAACATGATGCTACTCCTAACTGACTGAACATTAAATGAAAAAAGAATCGGCAGCAAAAAAAAGACATTCAACGAAACAGCATTTCTGTTTCAACATTTTCCTCTTTTCCTGAAAAGTGTTACAAATGAAATGAATCTTGTGAATAAATTCAATAACTTGTGATATTGAATATTTCGCTCTTTTCCTCAATTCTGTTAAGAAAAAGTTCTAAGCATAAAAAAGTTTGAATCATTTATTAAACTTAACTGTTATTAAATTATCGCAACTCTGAACTTTGCTTCCAACTTAATCAATACAGAAAATCTCATTTACTCAAATATTCTGAATGAATTTAGATGAACTTGAGATGGAAATTAATTTTTTTGTTTAATCTTCCTTTCATCATTACTCATTGAATCATTTTTTTGTTTTGCATTTTCTTCCATATTCATTGATTTCTCATTTTTCGTGTTCACCATCTGACTGGGAAGGATGAGCATTTGCTGTGCCAAATGGAGTTTGATGGATTTCAAATGCATTCAATAGTCTCATAATGTTGAGATAAACTTGAAAACGGAAATATATTTGAATATGAAAATGGCGATCACAAGCTTCTCCCTGATTGAGCTTACACACAAAAGATAAACTTTTAGTCTTGAAATAACACTTTTAATCTTTACCATTTTTGCAGTCTTTATGATAGAGTAAAGTAAATGATTATGAAATGAAAAGATAAAATGCTTCAAATGGATGTAAAACACAAAATGAAAAAGATGATGATGATGATGTGAAAATATAATGATGTGTTAACTTACCAAAGAAGCAAAAAAACACTTAAATGTTGAAATGTTTTTGTACATTTTCGAGGCATTTTTTGTTCATACTTTTAGATTTTTAAAGGCTTTCATATTGACTTTTTTCTTGCTTTACAAAAAGTTGACTCAGATTGTCAATGAAAATGTTTATCTTCAATGTCAAGTAAATAATGCAAAAGTGAAGTTGATGGTTTAATGTAAATAAGATGAAGAGCTGTTGAGCAGCACTTTTTTGCTAAGCTTTAATGATTGACTTACCACAGATGAAGAATTGATGAAACAAAAGTTTCACTCAGGTGGAAACTTTTCAACTTTTATTGCTGATTTTATCATAAATCACAAGGTTTTCCAAGAAACACTGAAATAATAAAGAAAAAACTTTTTTTCCGTTTCTTAATTTACAAAGATTATCCAATTGGTTTAATTAACACTTGATCCGGTGGAAACAGGTTAAAGGTGATTAGTCGAAAGAACATGATTTAGGATATTTTGCTGTCGAACAACAGATTTGTAAAAGGCTTTGATTTAATGTTGACTGTTTAGCTAAGAAAAGTTGATGTGAGTATTGGCAGTGCAAAGGAATAATGCTCATTCAATGTTGAGTCAATTTTGTTTTGAACAGAAGCTAAGAATGGATGACTCCATCTTGTGCATTTTATTTGAGCAAAAACTGTATTCAGTGATGGGCCATAGAGATAGCAGAATATCATAAGATTGATCTTTTAGAGCTTCAGCTCGAGCTGAAAACGACCGTTTACAGACTCTCGATTTGAAGGCACTCGTGAAGATTGATTGGCGTAAAATATGCAAGAAGATTCTCATAAATTGATGCTGCGATGATTTGACCTTTGAATAAATATTTGAAAAGAAACAAAAGAATGCAAAGCTCGTTCCGAAATCCATATCAGTCTCAACGTTATAGTCGATCTTTTACTTGATATGAAGTTAATTAATTTAATTAAAACTAATTAGAAACTCTTTATCCTGACCCAACGAGACACGAGATTAAACAGTATTTTGACCGCATCAGATCAAGTTGGTCTATCCAAGATTAATCGTGAATTCAAATTGATAATTCAGTATCATTTATATTGCTCAAGGATTCGTGAATCATGTTGCATAGAAGTGATAAAATCTTATGTTTATTGATTGCGCATCATTTCAATAGGAAAGTGACTAGCTTCTGGTGAGCGTCGAATTGTTATGAAATTTTTCATTATAATGTAACCGATCAAGTAACCAACAGATCCAGAAATCAGCCAATCACAGATACTCATTTTTACTCTCATGCAGCTCCAAAATATTAGCTCAGTCCATATTTTTCTTTCTCTGTCACAAACAGTATTAAAGATCAAAGTGAAATCGTTGGAATGTCGATATACTGACCTAGTAAACTCAATCTTGTTGGTACATGAAAATATTGATGAATTTTACATTGTTTCATTTTACTTGACGAAGGCTGTAAAAAGTTAATCATGACAAACTTGACATTTTCCACGTCATGTTTATCTTTACTGGTTTTACCCAGAAATCATGTAAATGGTGCAAATCTTGAATAGATGAATTGAAAGTAATGTCTTGAATCGACATCAAATAAAAACTAGATGATTTTAGTCATTAATATCAATCAATAAATACTGAGCCAAAAGAATAATTTATTGCACTTGAGGCCCTGATCTTATGTGCAGTATCAAGGCCATTTGTGCAATCGTTTCTAGACAACGGTTGACAAATCTCATCTTTCTTATGTCATAATCATTTAGGTATTCTGATTATACGAAATAGTAACATGCTGCAATTAATGTAAATCACTGCTTTGGTACTGATGTTACAATTACGAAAATAGCAAGCCATAAAAATTAATAATTAGTTTTATTAAGAAGTGAGTTGAACGTGGGGAATCCATGCAATTACACAATCAAAGTGCTTATAAAAGGGTTTTCATTCTCATCATTTGAATCAGAAGTTGAATTTAGTTTAACATCGATCATCTTTACATTTTCGAGTCACAATCCAACATCAAACAGCAAAAATGATCCGAACCATCGCCATCTTCGCTTTATTCGTTGCCTGTGCTCAGGCTCGAAACATTTCCTTCACCAACTGTGGTAAGTTGATTTACTTTGCCCGGTTCAACAGAGAACTTTATTTAAATAATTGTTCGATTGTATTTCTTTCCTATCGACAGCATCAAACGGAAAGATCATCAATGTTAATGTCGTACCTTGTGACAGTGATCCATGCGACTTTGAACCAGGACAAGAAGTTAAATTAAACGGTTCATTCGTTAGTTGTAAGTAACGTTAAATTGATTACTAATTAGAGTATGTTTCTCATAAGCAATATCTAACTGATCAATTATTCCATTACTCATTAGACAAAAGTGAATCTAATCCGGTTCTAAAAACTGAGGTTAAAATGGGTAATTCTTGGGTTCAATATCCCGATGTTGATACTGATGCCTGTAAATACACAAGTTGTCCTGTTAAAGCTAATAACACTTATGCATACAACGTTACTCTGAAAGTTATCAATTGGCCTGTATCTGTAAGTAATCGTCTATTCATTGAACCAAATTTCAATTTTTGCCTTTAACCATGTTTTTAATTACCTTTTCTTGCTTCTCTGTTTAGTTTGAAACTGAAATGCGATTCCGTTTGCTCGACAGTGATGAAGACACTGAACTGGTTTGTGGAAATACAACAATTAAAGTATCTAATAATTAAATTGAGCATTTCATGAATCCCTTTTCCCAATATTTCCAAAATAAATTCAATAAACTTATTGACTGATTGCAATCATTGTTTCTCGATTTGATTTGAAACCATTGACTGAAAGAATACGATTTGTTACACAGAATAACAAAAATGAAGTTAACTAACAAAAACATCCAATTTGAGGACATGAAAGTAAAAGAGTGAGTGATATTTTTGGATAGATTTATCGTAAACTATTTAATGATACAATTTCGCACATTTAAATACGTTAAATAATTTAAATAAGAGGATTGTAAACACAGATACATTATTCGGGAACTTAAAGTGCAACAGATTTCAACAGAGTAAATTCACAGAGCGATTTGATAAAGATGAACAAGCTTTTGGTTAATATTGTCTAAAATTAATAACTTCAAATTCGTCTAAAGATTCCATCGAAAACTTGATGTAAGTCACTAGCTTATAATGACAAGAAATCAAAGCAGAACGAGATTTGGAGAAGTGAAATATCAATTTAACAACTCAATACAATGTAATTATTAAAAGTTTATTTCATCATTTATCGTTTATTTATGGCATCATAAATTGGTAAATGAAAGATTTAATTAGTCTGAATCTGAGTCAGTTGTCAGTAGATCATGTGAGTAATGTTTCCATTAAACACACTTTTACAATCGATTGACATTGAAAAGATCTATAGTTGGAATGAGCTGATCCAATGTCGATGTAGCCTTTCCTGGACTCTTGATGGGAATTGAAACTTTTAAGGTTCGATGTTTTTTAATTTTCAGCTCATTTCTCCCCTTTGCAACAATCTGAATCTCAGATCTAAACTGTCTATCACTTGATTGTTATAAAAATATTATCGAACAATAACATCAACAACAGCATTTAAGAATAAGATGAAACTTGAACATCGAAAGCTTAATTTGTTATGTTTATCAGAAAAAACATTAGATTGGTTAAAATAATAATTTATTTCATGGCCAATTTAAGGTCAAAATGCACAAATATATTTTTGTTTTAAATAAAACCATTTTCCTTTGATGTGTAAAATTTTTATGAAGTTTAGTTTATGATCCTTACAAGATTGGATGCTCAATGAGCATTGCTCATTGAATCTCCACAATTGGTATAATATTCGATAGATGTCATGACTGTCTGAGTTCTTCTGTTCGTAACGAAATTAATGCATTTTTTGTTCGAAAAGAGATGGCACTAATGTACTGGGAATGTATACAGCTTGGTAACTACGAATTCATCTGATTCAATGCTTGTGGAAAAAAGAGGAAAAAGTGAATCGTTTTTATGGTTCATCATGCTTTTTCCTGATTATATTTTAGTTCTCATTCACGAGTTCGAGTTAACTGTTCTCACATTCTGCTCTTTTCGCTTTTTCATTAGACATTCATCTTGATTAACTTTGTGTTAGTTGGTTAAAATTATTATTCTGTTATGACTGTTGTAAATCATTCTAACTTGGATTGATTATTGTAATTATTATTCTTCTTCTTTTCGTCAATTTCTTCTCAGCATTTGTTATTGTGTGTACGAAGTGGTTTAAATGTGCAATTGTTGGATGAGAAACAATTCCGTTTCCGAGGAATGAGATCAGTCTTGGTAATAGCATCGAGCGTGACAGAGGAAGTGGATTAAAATAAATTGAAAGAAATAAAACATAAAATAAAATAATGAGTATCGCGGCGTTACATATTTTGTAAAAGATCAATCTATGAAATATACAAAGTCAAAACATCAAATTTTATGTAAAGATTGTTGCTAAATTGCAATTCAAAAGTTTCGGAGAAATCGATGCAGAATCAGTATTTTTAGCATGTTTGGGCAGCAGCTTTTTGGTTATTCAGGTTGTTGGTTTATTGTTAGGTTAGCTCAGGTTTCTGCACCAATAAATGTGTAAAAAACACTGTATAATATGTAAAACTGGTTCAAATAGATTAGAGTTTGGTATAAATCTGGTGCTTCAGCTGTACAAAAAGAGAGCAAAGTTTTTAGCTACGCTTGAAGAAAGACTTTTTCCTTCCGCAATGCTTACATGTATTGATGCATATTGTGAAAAGCTAAAGTTTTATCTTTTGAATTCTTATTCTGAAGAATTCTGATCTTTAAGATGTTGTGTGATTGTTTATACACAGCGTTAAAAAGTTTATGTTCAGCCATTTTTGCTTCAAAATGGTGGCTAAACAGAAAGGGTTCTAACAAGAGGGCATGATTAATATCAGGAGCTTGAGCTAGCTTTCTAGGAACTCAAATGCATGATCATGTTCTGACAGTTTGGTTGGAAAAAACTCGTATTCTAAAGCATTGTGAAGAAAAGCTAATTATTTCGTTTAGTTTGATGGCGTTGTGGCTTTTGTTGGATGATCCATATGTGATTAATCAGTTGTAAAACAAGATTTTATTGAACATTATTCCATTATGAATTTTGAATTAAGAAATATCAGAACGAAATAAACTATTATGTTGTAATGAAATGACAGCTAAATGGACTTTAGACGTTTGTGAGCTTGTAAAAAATTACATCACTTTATTGGTCTGAGGAAAGTGTTACAAAAACCTTATACAGTCAATGAGTTTAAACCAAACAAAAAATATCTTTGAGCATCTGGACAAGGTAATAATCTTAGGATAAATCACTGACCGCGTTAATTTTTCTTATTTTTCAAATGCATTTTGTGCTCAGTTTTGCATCAGTTATGACTCAAATCATGCATAGGGCTTTGGACAATCAATAAGAATGAATCAATTCATTTAAACAACAGCCAACATAGTAACAGTGTTTCACTTCAACTTAATATTGCAATGAACAATAGTTAGGTAAAGATATCTGGACAATCTTGATAATAATTATTTCTGTAGATCAAGATATTTTATTATTCCTTTCATGCAATCGACTGATATAAATAAACAATCTGATAGCAATTGAACTGTAAAAGAATAATAATTTCTTATGACTAAAGACATAATTTAAAGTTATAGAAGTTGAAAACTTATAACGCTGCTACTAATTATTAATGAAATTGAAAACTAAACCTAAATACCATTGTTGAATGTAAACTAACAATTGTAAGCTAATTAAATTCATCAAATTAATAATAACAAGACATTAATATTAGGAATTTGAAGGCAAGAAAGAGTCAATATTGAACCCTGAATGGGAACAGCAAAACCGGAAAGAAAAAAGGGTGAAAAATATAACATTGAATACTTTGAAAATGACCCATAACAACTGAAAAAATCAAGGCATTAATGTAAAACATTCCCAGTCAACACAAACGCTACAAGCAGTGGCTAGAAACTTGTGAGTGAGGTCTTGAGAGCAAAAATTGGAAACTTCAGGTTTTTGGACCCTTTTCCTCATAATATCGTTGCAATATAACTAATAAAATCATTAGTTGATTTTTTTATAAACTGAGAAACGTCCAAAGTTCATTTGCTGCCAAACTGTATTATTCAATCTGGAATACCTCATGTTATAATCATTCAGATATTCTGATTGTACGAAATTGCAACATGTTTCAATAAATTTTAGTCATCTACTTGGCGATGATGTTACAGTTAAGGAAATAGCAAGCAATAAAAACTGTATCAGATTGCAACGTAATGTTTATGGATCATATTTAAAAGTTTTGTGAGATTTGAGTTGAACATGGGGAATTCACGCGATCACACAATCAAGATCATAATGTTACTGTTAGGCACAGTTTGCTTATAAAGGGAGAATCATTTCTTCGATTGACATAGACATCGAGTCATTGCAACATTGACCATCTTTGAATTTTTCAAGTCACAACTCTAACATCAAACAGCTAAAATGATCCGAACCATCGCCATCTTTGCTTTGTGTATTGCTTATGTTCAAGCAAGAAATACTTCCTTCACCAATTGCTGTAAGTTGATTAACTTTCGAAGTGTAAACCAAACAATTTTATTTTTGCCATAAAAATTGGTTTTTGTATTGCTTTTAACAGCACCAAACGGAAAGATCTACAATGTTAATGTCGTGCCTTGTGACACTGATCCATGCAAAATTCAATCAGGAGAAGTAGTCAGCATAACTGGTTCATTCGTTAGCAGTAAGTGACATAAAATCTGTTGATAATTAGAAAAACATTTAATCGATCAATGATTTCATGTTATTTATCATTAGGCATTGCTGCTTCCAGTCCACTTTTAACTGCCGAAGCTAGAATTGGTAATACTTGGATTCAATATCCTGGTATTGATACTGATGGATGTAAATACTTCAACTGTCCTCTTGAAGTTGATGTGGTCTATCCTTACGGCATTAGTTTGGAGGTTATCGACTTTCCTCAATCGGTTAGTTAACCATCAATCAGATTCTCATTTGGTTTAAATTCTAATTGCCTTTTGCTCCTTTCTTTAGATTGATACTGTATTCCGATTCCGTTTGCTAAGCAATGATGGATCCACTTTACTTGTTTGTGGTGAAACTCCTATTACCGTTATTGCAGCATAAATTATGCATTTCATGAAACCGCGGTTCCAATGTCTTCCTAATAAACTAATTGATTATTGATTGCAATTTTGTTCCTTCAATTTTTCAGATTTTTTCGCATTCCAATTAATTAATGCATTTTCGACTTGAAGTTGGCAAGTGGGGCAAGGAGCTCATTCAAAGTTTTTGCAATTTGTTATTTTCATAAGATCAGGTTGCTAGCTTTGAATTTCAGTCGAAATGCATATTCAATTGTTTTAAAAATCGCCAGGAAGAATGAATAGTTTCAACAGTTTTTGCTCTTGATTTGCAGTCAATTTGATTTACCAAGAAGATGAATAACGAGTAAAACGATGCTTGCTCTTTGAATTACTGGGTAGGTAAAGATGATCTGTAAAAAAAGTAAATATTAGACACGAGTCTTTTTCCTTGATACTAATATTTGATAATTAAACTCACAGATTTTAGGCTTTACCAGACTCAAAGAAGTTCAAGTTGAGATTTTTTAGCTGCAAGTTTGCAAATCATGAATGTTTCTTATGAGCTAAATGTTTAGAGATCTGGTTCTGGTTCGGTCAATTTAGTTTCACTCAACTTGAGTTTATTTTATTGATACTCTTAGACTTTCTCCTTCCTTCAAGACATTCAGGTCTCTTGTTTGTTATTGTTAGGAGTCCTCACTTGATTGCTGAGTCAATGTGATTCGTTAACTTTCCTGTGACACGAGCCAGAGGTTGAAAGACATTGGTGAGGTAGACACGCGAACGCGTGTCCTCTTTTCCTTCATGTTTCTTGACTGCACAGTGAGATGTAAATATAATAACTCTCATATGGTTGACAGGAGTCAATTTTCAATGAACTCGTAAACAAACAGGACCATTAATTTGGTTTGCTTCTCTTTCTTCATTGTCTTACTTCATGTCTTAAGATACTCTATCCACAAGACTCATCTTAGAGGGAAAAAATCATCGTCTTCATCTCCTCATCATCAACCTTGGTCCTTTTAGAACCCTTGGAATATCAATCGATAGGTGGCGTGACTGACTGGGTTCTATCGTTTGGAACGAAATTAATGTCTTTTTTTGATCAACAAGAGATGGAGCAAATGTACAGGGAATGTGTACAGTTTTGTAACTACGGATTCATCTGATTCAATGCTTGTGGAAAAAGAGGAAAAAGTGAATCGTTTGTATCGTTCATCATGCTTTTCCAGATTATATTTTTAGTTCTTACTCACGAGTTCAAGTTGTTAACTGTTTTCACATTCACTTCAACTTAGTTTATACTCTTTCCTTTTCTCCTCTTTTCTCTCTTTGTCTCTTTGTCTCCCTTTCATTAGACATTCACCTTGATCAACTTTGTGTCAATTGGTTAAAATTATCATTCTGTTGTTACTCTTGTAAATCATTCTAATTAAGTGTTTGACTTTACCTGGATCGTTTGTTGTAACAGTTTATTGACAATCATTCTTCTTCTTTTTTTTCGTCGATTTCATCTCACCATTTGTTATTGTGTGTACGAAGTGGTTTAAATGTGCAATTGTTGGATGAGAAACAATTCCATTTGTATTTCAACCATTTCTGAGGAATGAGATCAAACAGTCTTGGTAATAGCATGGAAGGCGTTGGAGGAGGTGGATTACCTCCACCGCCACCCTCTCATATATCTGAAAGTATGGGTCAGACTTCGGCTCCTCTTCGTCACGGAATGGGACCTTTAAATGCACTAGGTGAATCACATTCCTACAACTATCAAGATAGAAACTTTATTCAAGGAAAACGTTTCATGGGATTCGATTCAAGTAAGAATTTCTCTTTTCCATTTCCAGACTCAATTAACAATATTGACATAAAATTGTACACAAAATGAAACAATCTAATTCATTACCAACGAAAAAACAAAAGACAAAATTTTCTCCAGACATGCAAATAATTTACCGCTATGACAATGAATCTTTCAACCAATGCTTTAAAGTTATCCAAATTTTCTAGCAAATTATTTCCATGACACAAGTTAATTGCTTTGTTTTCAATTTAACAAACTGTCAATGATTTTGATGACTTGATGACAAGGAAAAGCTCTTGCAAGTTTTGAATGTTAACAACCTCAAGGTTTAATCAGAGTAAAAAGATGAAAAATATTGTTTGAAATGAAAAGCCTTTTCATTTTCAATTTTATTCCTCATTTTTGAATCAGTTTAGTTTCAATTGTTGCTATTCTCATTCTCAGGATGATGAAGGAATAAAAGTTGAGATGATAATTATGATGATAATGATGATAACAATACTGATGATGGTTTTGCATTCATGCGCAAAATGATAACTCGAAAGGGAATGAAAAGAGAGAGACAGAGAAGGAAAAAAGAGGAAAAAGAGAAAAAGGAATAAACGCAAGTCTACCTTTAAGTAAAATGGGAACAGGAGTGAAGAAGAAGAAGAAGAAGATAAAAAAGAAAGAGAAGATAAAAAGAGTTAAAGTTTAGAAAAAAAGCGTGAAAGAGAATCACATCATATAAAGGAATGGGAAAAGAAAGGGAAAAATAAGGATAACAGGGAATGTGAATTGGGAGTGAAAAGTATGAAGAGTAAAATAAAAGCAAAAGAGACGAAAGAAAAAATCGATAAAATTCATGCTGAGAAATTGGTTGAAACATTTGTTTTTTTTTGCATCTTTCTTTTTCTTACACTTTCATCTTTTTCGCTCTTCTTTCACAGAATTTCTTTCCCTGCAATTCTGCATTCTCAGTGTTTTTATTGTTTGGATTCTCCATTTTTCGACTCCAAGTAAAAGGATGGAGAAAAGGTGACACAAGAATAGAGTGATAATAATCATGTGCATATTACGAAGTTCACATTGATGAGGCAAGTTGTGAGTCGCTTAAACAATAGATGATGATGATGATGGGAATGAAGAGTTGAAGATAAGTGACGAGGAGGGAATCAAAGGGTGAATTAAGGAATTGAAATGAAGGCAAATGCTCAAGAATTGTAAGGTCATTGTTCGTGTGTTAGGAACAAAAAAGTAATATTTCTTGTGTTTATTTTCAGTTGATGATAATGATTACTCCTTAATGCTCCATCAACATGAGTTGAACTATTTTTATAGCATCAATAATGTTCACTAGCAAAGTACTGACTTGAAGAATTTTTTTTCCTTCTTCTATTTTAAACTCAATTTTTATCGCTGATTGATAACATTCAAATAACAAGATTCACATCTGGATAACATCATGTCTTGATACTTATCAGGGAATGATTTTTTCTTCTTCGAAAGTCTTTTGCTTTTGTGAGAAAATGTTTTCACTGAAACAAAAGTAAATGCTCTTCTATGACATGATAACTTCATTTTTCACATTCAACTTGATTGGTTCAATTGAGTATTCAAATTTTCTTTTGCTTTTCCGTTGCGTTTTGTTTATTAAATTGTTTCAAATTCCTATTCATTTAATAATAAAATTGTCAAGTTTACATTTTATTTTGACAACCAAAAGAATATCAACTTTTTTTCTTCGTTTTTCATTCTTACGCTCTTTGTCATTTCACAGCAAAAACAACAAGATAAGTCAAGTGAATAAAGGAATGAAAAACAAAGAATTGAAATAAAAAATTCTGAGACTGAATATGTTCGCCTTTTCAGGCAAGGGAGAGAGAGAAAAGAAATAGTACATGAAATAGAAAACTTGTATTCTGGTGATTCTGTGAACAAGAAAAAAAGTTGATATATAAATGTATGCAAGTAAAAATAGACAAGAAAAATGTTGCTCGGAGTGGATAAAATGATAACTCCCAAGCGCCCAGAATTAGTCTGCATATGTTATCATAGATATAAGAAGAGAAGCAAATAAATAGATATTTTTATGATTCTGATAGAATTAGCATCCAAGCATAACGAATGGTTGTCATTTTTATATGAATGGATATAAAGTTCTGGTATTGCTGATTCTTCTCATGATGAGGATGAAGAGAAAGAATGTAAAAGATGAAAAAAAATCTTTTCTCTCAATGTGTTTACTGAAAAGCATCTTTTAAAAGCAAAAGAGGAATCTTTTTATATCGATTTATTTTAGCAATTTTTGTTTCACTAAACTCTCTTGCCATTGTGAATAATCTTTCTTTCAATGAATGATAAAGATAGAATTGATGAAAATGAAATTCTCTTCCCTATTCATTTTTAGTTTCTGTGCTTTCGTTTCGATAGTCATTTTGCAATACCTTGATTCATGCAATAATTCGTAACATTTTCCATTATCAACTATTATTCTTGTACCAACTCCCAGTACTCAACCAATATCCAATAAGGTTTCTCCAAATTCACTCCCAGAAGAAACTTGTGCATTCACCTTTATTCTGTTTTTCAATCAGCTCATCGATGGATATATCGCTCGAAATCCATAGAGTATCAAGCATCTAATGAGCAAAATTAGAGCATGAATTTTCGTCTCCCAGTCTCTGGAATAAAGATAATATTTCTCTAGATTCTCTAGATTCGTGTAATGATTTTAACAGATCCCTCGTTTGGTTAATATCAATTATCAAAAGACACAGTATCGGTACTTTAGGATCACTGAAAGGTTGAGCGAAATATTACATTCAATTCACTGAACTAGACTCACTCCAAGCCTTAACTCCCAGTCACAATTTCCTTAATCAACTCCAAGTTCCATTCCGAGTATTCATTCCCAGCACCAACTCCCAGCACTCATTCCCAGTGCTAGATCATATTACCCACTCATATCGCTCACTCCCAGTATGCACTCCTAGGATTCTTTAATGATGTATATCAATGATGTCATGTTTATGAAAAGCAAGATTAACTCAGCGATTTTAGATTTTTTTCGTTCAATTTTACTTGCATGAAGTTTTGAGTTGAAACTGTTTGTTTTATCTATTTATGTGGTTTTTATCTTTTTCTCGTTTTCACCATCTTTCCATTTCAACTTTCATTCATCTTCATCTTTTCTTTTTTGGTTACATGGAAATTGTTACGCACGACAATTCCCTTGATGTTCCATCAGCAGCAAATGCAACTCTTTTTTTTCCTCATGATACTTTATTTATCTCTCTTTCCTTTTGCTGAATGTAATAGTTGTTTCTCTTTTCTCTCATTTTGCTCATTGCGTTCCAAGTAAAAAGGTTTACTGATTCACTGGGAATTGTCAAGGCAAAAAGCATAATGATGATGATGATGATGATGAAGAAGAAGATGAAGATGAAACAAAAGGAGAGAAAGAAACGTTAAAAGCAAACCAATGTCTCTCATTGCATTTCAAGTCACTTTAGATCAACATTTTCCCCTTTCCCCATCCAATGCAAATCTAATAACATTTTTATTCTTTGCGCCATTCTTAAAGTGATAAAATTTCATTTCTCTCACATCATTGAACAGATCAATTTTCTTCTCTATTTACATCACCATCATGAGCATCATTTTCATCACCACTTTCATCATGTTCATGCTTTCATATTCGTTATCATTGTCATTAATGTTTACATTTTCCTTGCTCTTTCCACTGTTCCTTCCCATAAGTCAAAAGTTTCAATATAAAAGCAATAAACGAACCATTAGATTTGCTGTAATTTTGTTACAATTTTCTTGTCCCACAATTATCTTTATTGAGTAACGTTTATTAACTCGAGCAAAATGTCCAAGAATTGAACGGAAAAGAATGAAAAAAAGATGAAAAAAATGTGGAAAAGTAAAAAAGCCCAAAAAGTGTAACAAGAAGCCTAATGTACTATTATTATTGATCAAACAACAAAAACTTATCCAACACAAAAAAAGCTAAAATGATAAAGAAAAAGGAAAAAAAGAGAAAAAAATGTCCAGAACTGAGAGCTAGATAATAACAACGTTGAGACAAGAGTAATAATGACGAAAAGAGAAGCGAGTTGAAACTGAATACAACAGGAAGTTAACATGATGTCATTTGAAAAGTAAGAATAAGTAAAAAGAGAGGACAAAAAGCGCATTAAACACACACATGGAGTTGCAATGAATTAGGTAAGAAATTCATTTGTCAAGAAGAAAAGTAAAATATCTTGAAGATGAGAAGAAAAGGTATTAATGGTAAAAGTTCATTGATTTCATGGTTTTCCTGAATGACCATTCCAATGGTATTTTTGCCTCTTTAAGTATGTCACACTGTAAACAATGATTAGACGTAATAACATGAAGAATAGAATGCTGAGATTTCAAGTCTTTCTCTGCCTTCAACGAAACAAATTTTTTCTTCTTTTCATCTTTTTTTCTTCTTCTTCTTCTTTTGCTATTTCTTCCCTTCTCTTGATACAATTTTGATGTGCATTAAGGAGGCAAAAAGTTTTGATAAAAGGTTGACTGGGATTGGATAGAGTAGTAAAGAGTAAGCTAAGTTGTTCATTGTTGTTGGCTGAAGAAGGCGAAAGAAAATTTTGTAACAAGGAAAATGTTGAGCTTAACTTTGGAGAAAACTGAAGAAAGAAGAGAAGAAGAAAAAAGTGAAAAGAAAAATTGTTGAAAGAAATGATGATAATAGTAATGGTAATGATAACTATGGAAGAAGCAAAAGGAAGCTTCAAAAAATAATGGAAACACACAGAAAATGTGAGATTTATTGTTTACTTCCTTTTGGGTTAAAAGTTGATTTTCTTTTGAGGTAAATTTTCGCTCGATTCAAACATGATAATGAGCATGTTGATGTTGATGATGATGAAGATGGTTCTTAGATGAGGAAACTTTTGTTCTCAATTGAAAGAGATTCAAGAGAAAGAAACAAAAATGTCAATGAAAGTGAAACCTTTTTTACTTGCAACATTAACATAA